AATTGTAAAAGAAAAACAATAATAAGATCTAAGATATGAACTAAGAAGTTGCATAGTTAGCATGTTTTATAAAAACATGTCTTTCCAATATACTTTAGGAATACAGTAGTCCGTCACTACTTTGCGGTTCGTTTTTCGCTGACTCGCTCTATCGCGGTTTTTCAAAGTAAGATTGGACATGAAACACAATAACTGATTGATGGATGAGCTGCATGATCAACATGGATTTTTTAATTTAAAATAAATTATTTTAAATTATTTAGCGCCTGTGTGCAGCCCACAGCTGAAGAAAGCTTCCTCCTGCAGCTGATCTGTGCTCTGCAGTGGAGATCAGCTGATCTCGGTGCAGAGAAGTGGGCATGGCCGAGAGCGCTGGCAGATGGCAGAGATCTGAAATCACGACATTCTGTGCTCTGTTTAGATTTTAGAAGCATTGTTTAGAATATTGCAAGAGAAACGAGGGACTACTGTATTTCAGTTTTAACTAGACCTGCTTTTATTTTTTTTTTAATCCTCCCTGTTCCTGTTTTTAAATTAAATGTGTTTTTACACCTATGACTAATTGTGATTTACAATAATTCAGGCTGCTGAATGACAAACCTCTGCCAGAAGGCTGGGAGATGAGATTTACTGTGGATGGGATTCCTTACTTTGTAGATCACAACAGGAGAACAACAACCTACATTGACCCCCGCACAGGAAAATCCTCGCTGTAAGTTGTTAGTGTTCCAACTGAACGCAGCTTTTGGAAGAAGAGAGAGTTGCTGGTCATTTATTGTTTAAAACACTAATCTTTGATCAGTAGTTTTGTTTATGGCAGTAGGGGCTATTAATGGAGATAGACAACACTTTCACCTAGAAATAGTGTATTTCAGATATAGTTTATTGTTTGTAAAGAGCTAAATTTTATTTATTTGCAAAATAATAATAAAAAAAAATATGTACACTTAAAGCACTTTTATTTCAAATGTAAACTTTTTTTCTATCTTTTCCACAGTGAGAATGGCCCTCAGATAACCTATGTCAGGGATTTTAAAGCCAAAGTGCAATACTTCAGGTTCTGGTGTCAGGTATTCTCGCATACAAATACTAATTGTTGCCGTTATATTCTCATATGCTGCATTCAAAGATGCAACATACTCAGTTTCTACCTGTCCTAAATCCAAGTCGTTTTTATTATTTTTCACGTTTGTTTTCGTTTAGCAATTGTCGATGCCTCAGCATATCAAGATTACTGTCTCAAGAAAAACACTGTTTGAGGATTCGTTTCAACAGGTAAGCCAATCAAAGGGCGGTTCTTTTGTTTCTAGGTTTAACAATGGCATCTTGTTTCGATTGGATGAATTATGTAACCGATTTAATTCTTGGTTTGCTTTCAAAGATCATGAGTTTCCACCCTCAAGATCTAAGGCGGAGACTGTGGATTATATTTCCAGAAGAAGAGGGTCTGGACTATGGAGGTGTGGCCAGGTAATTTCTTTTATTAATTTCTTTTTTTTTTTTTTTGTCTCTGCAGGTGTGTCCAGCATATGACTAGTGGGGTGTGTAGTGCTCCCACTTGTAGATTTTTTTTTTTTTTTTTTGACAACACCCAAGTTTCACAATCCAGTTCTAAAAATACCAGTATACCAGCTGAGTATTCCTCATGGAAGTCATGCGCGTCAAGCTGTTATATCACCGTATTCATTCACTTATGTCTACTGCCACCACTTGCACTTAACACGCCGTTTCATTTTTTTATGGTTTTCTTTCAGAGAGTGGTTCTTCTTGCTTTCTCATGAAGTGCTCAATCCCATGTACTGTTTGTTTGAGTATGCTGGCAAGGACAACTACTGTCTTCAGATTAACCCGGCATCCTACATCAACCCTGATCACCTCAAATACTTCAAGTTCATAGGGCGCTTCATTGCAATGGTACCTGTGCTGTTTGCACAAAGTTTGTTGATCTGATTGATTCGTCCTGCTAGTTTGAAAAAGGTTTTGTCTGGCAAAATACACAATGATCATGTGCTTCAACTAACATTTCCTTGTAGTTCTGAAGAAAATCAATTATCTCAGTTTAATTACCATATCTACCAGATTTTTTTTTATGAGAGCATCACTTTTCTCACATGTCTGTGTTGTTTCTTTCTAGGCCTTGTTCCATGGCAAATTCATTGACACGGGTTTCTCGCTGCCTTTCTACAAGCGGATTCTGAACAAACTACTTGCACTAAAAGACTTGGAGTCCATAGATCCAGAGTTTTATAATTCTCTCATTTGGATCAAGTATGTAGCTCATGGGAATTAATGTATGTTAAATCGAGGGTTTGGGTGATAATGGGGAAAAAATCATGAAATCTGATTTGGTGCTGTCTTTGTTTTGTTTTTGCTTGTTTTATGCAGCAACTGTTTAATGTCACCTGAAATATTCTAAGTGTACGTATACTTTTAGTCTGTGATGTTCAACAGTATTTGAATCATACTGATAATGACAGTGTCTGGCTTGTAGGGACAATAATATAGAAGAGTGCGGACTGGAGATGTTCTTCTCAGTAGACAAGGAGATCTTGGGGGAAGTCACTACTCATGAGCTGAAACCAGATGGAGGAAACATCCAAGTAACCGAGGAGAATAAAGAGGAATACATCAGGTACATCGGTTTGTTTGTTTGTTTTTCTGCTGTTTCTCACCAAGTTTTATGGTTATCTGTACATTCTCCTAGAATGTAATGCTAATATAATTGAGTTGTGTTTATTTCTCTGTTTGCAGGCTGGTGGCTGAGTGGAGACTGTCCAGAGGTGTGGAGGAGCAGACGCAGGCGTTCTTTGAAGGCTTCAATGAAGTTCTTCCACAGCAGTACCTTCAGTACTTTGATGCTAAAGAGCTGGAGGTACAGATGTAACATTTTATCTCTACAGCTTTTAAAAAAAAATTTTTTTTCTGTTTATCAGTTTGTGTAACCCTAGCAAACTTCACCATGTATTTTTAAGCTTTACATTCAGTTTCAATTCACTTTTTAAAAGTATTTACTTTTGTTTTAGGTGATGCTTTGTGGGATGCAAGAGATAGACCTGATGGACTGGCAGAGAAACACGATCTATAGACATTATGCCCGAAGCAGCAAGCAGATCCTTTGGTTCTGGCAGGTTTGTTTCGAAACACAAAATGTATTCCTGATATCACTTAGTTTTGTACTTTACAGATTCAAACAATTAAAATCTCTTGGGCTGTTCTCAAGCTCTGTTGTGGCTACTCTTGCATTAAAATCAAGTCAAAAAATGTCAGAGTAGTTCCTGGGGAGGAGGTCATCGACACACTAAGTTAAAAAAAAAAAAAAGCACTAAGAGGTTTTCCTGTTTCAGAGTCAGATTCTTTATTGTCATTCGCACCTCATGTGGTACATGTGGTGGAGCGAAATTATGTACACAGGGTCCCAGTTACATCCAACAATAAAATGTAAAAGAAAAACAGCAATAACATCCAAGATATGAACTGAGAAAAACATCAACTAAATATACACTAAGCACTCATAACATAAAACATTGAACATCAGCACAAACATGAACATGAGTCTGTGAGCAGATTGTGCACGCATGAACACATCAACATTAAAACAGATCAGCAGCAACATGATATGGTTTTTTCACAGTGATTATTCTAGTTAGAGATTCATGAGTCTAACAGCCTCAGGGTAGAAGCTGTTCCTCAGTCTAGTGGTTCTACACTTAATGCTCCTTAACCTCCTTCCTGAGGGGAGTGGGGCAAAAAGTGTGTGTGCTGGGTGAGTGGGGTCCTTCATGATGCAGGTGGCCTCTTCCTGCATCTGGAGGTGTAGATGTCTGTGATGGTGGGGAGGCTGATTCCAACAGACTTCTGTGCAGCCTTCACCACTCTCTGCAAAGCTTTTCTTTCTGCAGCTGTGCAGCCTCCATGCATTTTTCACAAAAGCAATTAATTTTTACTTCCAAAATACAGAAATATTCTCTGGTTGACTTAAAACAAGATTCCAAAAAAAAAAAAAAAGGTTTAGTGCTTCGAGAACCTCCTCCTCAGGAACTATTCTGACATTTTTGACTTGGTTTTAAGGCAAGAGTAGCCACAACTAGTAGAAAGACTGTTTTACTCCTCACTCCTTCCACAAAAGACCAAACAAGAAAACGAACCCAGCTCATGTTTCTTCTCTAATCGCAGTCGGCTGGGCTGACTAGGAGGGCCATCAACACAAAACACAATATATAATAGTTCATCTACCATCTTTAATCATTAGGCTTATTTTATACCAATAAGAATGTATAACATTTTATAATTAATTAAATTGTCAATTAAATAATAAACATTCTCCAACAAGCTCATTCATTTTTATTTTAAAGCACCTTCAGATCATAAACAACCTTTAATTTGAACATATACTCACTACTTTTGAGCAACTATTGTAAACTTTGGCTAACCTTGTTTGCACAAGTGGCTGTTTGGGTAAAGAAAATACTCTAAAGGGAGAAAACTTGGCAAAAAGGGAAGATTTGTTTAGATTGAGGATTGATAGAATAAAAATATATATACATGTGATTAAGTGTTTGGAAACCTTGATTATATTCATTGAGACTCCAAATTGTTTGTCATGAATAACTTCAGTAGTATGGATGCTTAGCATCAATCATAAATATGACCACAGAATTTTATTTTAAATCCAAGAAAAGTTTGAAAATGATGATTTCTTATAAGGTGAACTTTGTAGATATCGCTACTTTTGTTTCTGTTGAAAACTAAAATGGAAATCATCGCAGCATTAGATAATGTTTTACTGATCATAACACAGACGTTCCGTTTGCAGTTTGTGAAAGAAATGGACAATGAAAAAAGAATGAGACTCCTGCAGTTTGTCACGGGAACCTGTCGTCTTCCTGTGGGGGGCTTTGCTGATTTAATGGGTAGGCAACAATTAAATGACACGTGTTGTATTTTTTTTTATTTTTGTGAATTACAATAATCTCTTTATATTTTTTATCACTTGGTGCCTGATGAATACAGGAAGCAACGGTCCACAGAAGTTTTGCATTGAGAAAGTGGGTAAAGAAAACTGGCTTCCACGAAGCCACACGTGGTAAGCCCAGTATTTTCTTTTTTATCTTTTTAAGCCCTTCAGCTGATGGTCTTTGATTTGATTTTAAGTAAATGCACATTCAAAATCAGATTATTTTAATCATATCTCACATACTCACTTGATTTCCTATTTAAATTTACAAAATGTTTATATGTAAAGTGTCCTCAAGATGGAAGATTACTAGAGAAACAAAAAATGTCATTAAGTGTTAGATTGAAATCTGTGAAGTTTCTTATTTTTTCTGTTTTCATTTAGCTTTAATCGTTTGGACCTTCCTTCTTATAAGAGCTACGAGCAGCTGAAGGAGAAGCTCATGTTTGCTATAGAGGAAACGGAAGGATTTGGGCAGGAGTAATGCAACAAGAGTTTCTCAACCACCTGCAGTTGGAACAAAGCAGTGATGGCGTTTAATGAGCCGTAACTATTTAAACAAAAAGCACTTTCCCAGCAGATTCTCTCTCCAACAAAGAGATGCTTACAATCAAGTCTGAAGAACATCTTCATTAAAAAAAAATGAACACTTTCGTCAAAACTGTAATTTTTCCACAAAGGACATGTCAGTGTTTTGCACCGTATTCCACTCACCTGTCGGATTCAATCTTTACTAATCCAGCTGATTTCACTGTGCTGCACACAACCCACCCTGACAACAGAGACATGCCTTTCCCACCGTCTTGTCTGCACTTGCTTCATGAGCAAGTCTAGTTTCTACACGTGTAACAGTCTGTGCAGTAGGTATTTCACAAGAGCCACCTTATTGGTTTTATGCTCCACTAAAATATGAGGAGAGAAACATATGTACAGTTTAACTTCAATATGAAGACTAACATCTAAAAGCAACTTTTTTTTTTTTTTTGACTCTTAAAGCCTTATTTTTTCTGTTGATGGAAAATGGAAATACTATTTTTCTAATGGCTGACCTTATCTATTGTGAATAATGCATTGTTTTTAATCAACCTAATGATTCTTATTGCAATAATGCTTTCTCTTACTTTGGCATAATTAATTGTTAGTTTTATACTGAGTTCAAATATTAAACTAGTTTGCACATGGTTTTCTGAGTGGTAAGATTGTTGTAATTGTTCTTAAGAGAGGCTATTTTTATGTGCAATAGTTTTGTAGAGTTTTTTTTTCAATGATCTAAAATTTTGGTAAGACATTTACTATTGATTCCAACTCCAAAGTGATGTAGAGAATATTTCACATACTTTTATATGCATTCAATTGGATTGTTCTGGTTATGTACTGTGGCACTATTTGACCCTCCCATAATAGTCACTGCTGTATATATAAGCTTGTTAGACCAACAAAGCTCATCTCTTTGTCAGTCCGAGGGATGGAAACTGTGATTTTGATTTAATTATAAGCTGTTACTGATGATGTGGGACCTTAAGAATGTGTGAAATTGTAAAGAGGTGTGATCTGTTGAATAATGGCCTTCTCCCATTGCATATTAGTCAGTTCTAGTTGTTAAGTAAGAAAGTGTAGTCAATGGCTCTGAGAGCTTAAATAGCTTAAATCTAGGATTAAAATGCTTAACTTTCTTTTACAGGACTGACTTCTCAGACTTGATCTGAAACCCATAGTTGCCATGAAGATGCAGGTTCCTAAAAGTTTCATCTGTTGACTCATGCATATATTTTTTTTACACATAAAAGATATTGCAATACATTTAAATCATCCAGACAGTGAAGCCCTTTGAGAAATATGACTTAGGTTCTGGTCTATTTCAAGAAACTCTAGTTTTATAGGGTGTGAATCTTTTAATGGTTTGTTGTTCAAGTCTTTGAGTTAAACCAGATTACTTTAGGTTGTTCATTTTTATTCATTTCAAACCTTTTAAACAAAGTTACTGTTCTTTTTTTTTTTTTTACATTACAGACACGGTCTTATAATATTTTTATTTTACTAATTAAAATGTGGAAAACGGAAACCGTTAGCTCATCATTTATTATAGAATTTGTACATATTTCCAGCTATTCTTTGACGTTTACTGCTAAATCAGTAGTTTTATTTAATTTTTTCAAAGTCATTGATAAGCTGCCAACTAAAATCTTGCTTAGAAGTGTATTTCATTGTTCATGGGTTTTATTTGACTAACGTGAAATTTATGTACTGAATTTCTGAAACACTTAAAGCAAGGTAACAGTGTAATTTTTCTCCCTATTGGGTGATTTCTGGAAACGAATATCTGTGTGGCATAAAAAGATTGCTGCCAGAAATAAAGTTGATATAGAGTTTAATATTAAACTGATTTGTATTTATTTAAAATGATGTTTATGTGGGTCTGTGAAAGCTTTTGTTGCCTAATACTAACAAATGTAAATTTGTAATGCAAATTTTTAGAGTCTATTGTCAATGTAACTAAACATTAATAATAATCGAAGCAAACATTCAGTTTAATTTGTCTGCTACAATGAACAAGAACAGAATATTGAAATTTACAAGATTTTACCCACACGTTTTAAGTATTTGAGATTTTGGTTCTCTGTGAGCTGCTCCCTCCATGGAGCTCAACTTCACATAATGTTCATCTTTAACTCGGTCTTTTATTGTGTCCACTTCTTCACATGGTCTTAGATTATTGTGTTTTTCATTGTAATTTAGCACAAGGACTGTTTAGCTACTGGTTTGCAAACTAACAACGAGTTTAATATGAAAATAAATAATGTTTACTGTTAATATTGTAACAGGTGACATTTTAAAACAGCACATTGACAACCCAATTAATAACATTTCTTTTTAAACCTCACTGTTTCTGATCACAGGATGGATAAATGTACAGAAATATGCAAACGTGTATTTTAGTAGTAAACATTACATTGTAACTCGATGTCCAATTACTGTTTTTTCTTAGCTCTAACTTTTTTATCAATGAAAGTCAATGGGTGAATTTTATTTATTAAGAATATAAGTTGAATGTACTGATGAAATGGGTTGACTGATGATAATAAAAACAACAAACTAAAATGCTGAAAATGTGGTTATTGGAAACATTTTTTACTACCGGTCCTCATAATTCAATTTTTTTCTTCTGAAAGAATAAAATCAGAATGCTGTTTTTCATATTTTTTAATGTAAACATGACTTGTTAGTAGATGCTGACATTATTAAAACATATTTGGATATATGGTCACCCGCATGTTTTTTTTTTCTTTCTAAAACAATTGGAAATTACTTCAATAAAGGCATTAACTGGTAAGATATGTCTAAATTAACAGCACAATTTTTTTATCCAGCTCTAGTATGCAACAATGTTTAACGGCTATGCTATACACTCATCTATATCTTTTATTTTTTATTTTTTTTTGTTAATGTACAAAGGCTAGATCTATTTACAGAATGTACACTATATTCACAAAATTTTGTGCCACCGTGCATTCTGTTTTGCTTTCAAGCCTGACTTCTATGATTTTATTATTATTTTTTTTTTTAGGCTCATAAGTTCTCAGGCTTCCTGAAGCTTACTTAAAAGTTTTTTGTTTTTTTCGGCACCAGTATTGTCCAAATAACTTGAGGAACGTTTATTAAGATGCCTAACATTGATTGATGAATGTTTTGAGAATACAAATTCACCCAACCCAAGTGCTAAACAAATGTTTCTACGAACAGCAAACAATTTCTCAAAGAACCGGATATGAAGTGAAACTTTTGGCACAGTGTTACCTGGCACAAAGATGCAGTTTATTCCAATTTCTTTTGTTGAGTTGATGCAGTCAAAAGACCAGTGATTTAGAATTAGATTACAGTAATTATTTATTTAACCAGCGTAATGACTGCCAAAGAATGATAAAAAAAAACAAAAAAAAAACTGATACAGTAGATCAGGGGTTCTCAAACTTTTGGGGTTCAGACACTTGGAGAAAAAGTTTCAGGTACCCACGATCATAACCTTCATGTTTATTAAACAATTTTCTTTAATTTGTCTCTAATAAAAAAAAAATTGCGCCGCTCAAGGTGGCTGCATGTTGGAACAGCTGTGTTACTTTCATTCTGAGATTTTGCTTTTGGAAACTTTAATTCCTACTTTTCTGGATGTAAATCACACTTTTTGGCTGATTGTTTCCTCTGGTATCAGATGCTGTGCATCTGGAAGGATTTTTACTGACACTTTTTTAGTTTTGGACATTTGTTATGATGCGTAACCATGGAAACAAGGCAGTTTTCTACAACCAACAGAAGCTGATTAACATCTCAAAAGCTCAAATAATATCTCAAAACAGCACCAAATCTCAAATGAGTTGAAAGGATGTTCTGTGGACGCATTCTCATCTACCTGCCAGCTGTGCTCGAGTGCCTGACCACTGAGATCCTGGAACTAGCAGGAAACACGGCTCATGACAGCGGAAGGACAGGATCGTCCCTCGGTACCTACAGTTGGCTGTCCGCAACGATGAGGAGCTCGACAGACTGCTGGGAGGAGCAGCATTCGCTCTGGGAGGAGTTCTGTCCGGCATTCGGGCAGTTCTACAGCCTGGGGGAACGAAAGGCCAGCCGAGTCTGGGTGGATGGACCTGACGGCATCTGCAGCCAGTTTCTTAGGATCCACTGTGAGATGGATCTTTACAAGAGATCCTTCCTGACTACAGTCATCAGTATCAATAGCATCTCTTAATGAAGTGAGGATAACGAGTTACTACAACAAATAATTTCCCTCTGGGATTAATAAAGTATTTTTGAATTGAATTGAATTGAATTGAATGCAATATAAATACTGTATTTGTGTAACATGAATACTTAATGCATGTTCTTTAATAATGTGAATACAATGTTTTTGTACTTTTAAACATGGGGTATTTTTCATTCAAGACACACTTAACAATTTTTTTATTTCATTTTCCAAGCATAGTTTTGAGAAAACTAACAGTATCAAAAAACACTATAAATCTTTACCTATTCACTTAATGAACACACATGTATTGCCACCTCTTCAAATTATTACAGACAACTATTTTTAAAATAAAACTGAACAGAATTATAACAGTCATACCAGGTAACAGTGCTTCATTTGTAAACCGATCGATGCTGGAACGCAAGTAGTAGGCTCCACAAAGGCCCCCGGACTGGGATTTGAACCAGGGACCTGCTCGCTGAGAGGCAGCAGCTTTACCAGTTGTGCCACCTAATTAATTCATTTATTTATTAATGTATTTATTTATTTATTTATTTTTGCGGACCCCTAAGCACCAGATCGTGGACCCCCTGGGGGACCCCAGTTTAGTTTAAGAACCATGCCAGCCAAAACTCAAGTGTCAGTTACATCAGCTGGACTTTTTTAACACGATTTTCAATTGCTGTTACCCCCCCCGCCCCGCCCCCCCCCCACCCGATCATTCTCTTGTCTATTTGTTCCAACTATTAATCAAGACTAAATTATAAGATTTATGTGATTAAATTCAATCAAATGCACAGGAACTTAAAAAGGTAAAATCACACAGGAACCTTTGATGTGGCTCATATCCCTTACGGTGCAGATTCAGCGTGACACAGTTGTGGTCCGGCATTTATTTGAATCCCCAGTCAACTCGGTTGAAGTCATGGCGGGTCCTGACCTGATAAAAACTATTCTGTATACTGTGAACAACCTCCTTCAACAGGAGAAATACAAAGCAGCCCTGGCAGTGTTGAAAGGATTCAGAAACGGCGCCGTGTGAGTGAACTAAAACTAAATTAGGGACGATGCTAATGAAGTTTTATCTAAGCTAAACTGCAGAGTAGTGACTTGACCTGTCTTTCAATTCTTTGTATGGATACATCATGGTGGCTGAAAACGGTATTAGCAGGATAATGTTAATACATTTTAAGTGGTCATCATTTGATCTCAAATATACTTTTCCTATGCATGTTAGTTTGTGCCTTGTTCTTATTCGTATTTGTGGGTTTTTGAACTTGAAGTTCAACTTTTTTTTTTTCAGTTTAGAAGTTTAGTTTTCCTTAACCAGGTTTTGCACAGAAGTCCCTTATTGTTTAATGTGTAGTCTTTGGTGAAATAAACTTTTTTTTTTTTTTTTGTCTCAGATATGGGGCCAAGATCAGAGCACCACATGCCTTAGTTATGACATTTCTGTTTAGAAGTGGCTGGTAAGAAATTAACACTTTCTTACCTTTACATTTTTTAATGTATTTATTATTTATAATATCCTGTTGTCACATGCATATTTATATTTTTGCTTTGATCTCTTTTTTTCTTCTAACAGTCTGAAAGACAAACTCAAAGCCATTCTCAAAGCCACATATACCCACTCCCGTAACTTGGCGTGCTTCGTGTTCACATACAAAGGACTACAAGCCTTACAGCAGAGGATCCATGGAAAGAGCCTACAGTCGCACTCCTTCCTCGCTGCCTGTGTTGGAGGGTGGTTAGTGTTTGGAGACAACAACAACATCAATAGTCAGGTATGGCATGGCAAACTGCAGGTCAAAGTCCTCCCTTATTAGTATGCTGTGTTCCTGTTTTCTTACAGGGGAGGAAATAAATGTAATTTTACAAGGTGTTAATTTAATATTTTTTATTTGATGAAAAATCACAGATATAACAAAAACATATTTAATTTATCAGTTGATTAACTGTCTTCATAACTTTTTATCTTCAAGAAAAATAATTTCAGCAACATCCAATCTACTTACTTCTAATGAAGCAATAAAACTGTCCAAATATATTTATTCACCTGTACATTTATTGTAATAGTTGCTGTCATTTTTGCTCTTTTTTTTAAACTGACATACATACAACACCATATGTGACCCATCACATCAAACTGAGGATTAAGTCACAAGGTAGTGTAGGGATATATAGCCACCTAGAGTGCACTTGTTCAAAAGTTAGAAATTATTGGATTTTGTCAAAATATAATGGCTAAATACCTTATCTACGGGTCCCTTGAAGGAAATAACCTAACTATAATCTTGAAGAATGTTTACGAGCACTTTTCTGAGCAGTGCAAGAACTAAAATGATTTTGAGCAGAAAAGCTCTAATTTTTTTGCTACTTTCCTTACGTTCTAGCAAAGCTATTTTCAATATAAGCTAAGAAATCCTGATATCCAAATATGGTCTGAGGTTTCCTCTTTCAAATGACAGCAAAAAATAATTCTCATTGGAATACACTAAAAACAGGATTCAGATTGATTTTTCAGGGGTATTACTGATTTTCAAGACAAATTTCGCAAAGTCAGAATGAAGTATTGGTAGTGTGGGGAGTGATAGCAGTGGAAGGAAACTTGTAATCATATGTTTGCCAGTTTGAATCCCAAACTGACCGTAACATCAAAATGTGGGTGGAACAGTGTAAAGCACAACTCTGGGCTCTTGGGCAAGGCACTTAACCCCCTGAGCACCCTAATGTCAACCCCCCTGCTCCACAAAGAGGGCTGTGGTAGCTCAGTGTTTGTGTTTGCATCAGTAAGGGAATCAGGCGTTAATTGTAAAATCCTTGTGCGAGTTTGCTCGCTGTGGCAACCCCTGAATAAAGGAGCAGCTGAAAGGAGAAAAAAAAAATCTTTCATTCCAACATTCACAGGTCACGACTTCTCTTTAACCCTCTGACATTTGGCTTCTTTGTATGTAAATCCCATTTTGATAACTAATATCTTATTGTTTGTTTACAGATGTTGAGTCCTATTTCTGCCCATTTGTTTTTGTTCAAGCATTTTCAGTTTTTTATGCGTATAGTAATCAGAGCAGACTGAACATCCTCACAAAGTGGTGGATCTTTATAAGTTTTCCAGAGGCTGGATTGCTTTTCCAGATTTATTCAAACTTTTTTTTTCTTCTTCTTCTTTTTTGTATGTTTTTTTTTTTTTTTTTACCAATCTAGATCAACATGTATCTGTTGTCTCGAATCCTGTTTGCCTTGTCTCGACTGGCTGTAGAGAAAGGATTCATCCCTGCACCCAAACAGGATCCGTTCCCACTTTTTGCAACGCTGGTTTGGGGCATCGTCTTGTGGCTGTTTGAGTATTACCCACACACCCTCCAGCCCTCCCTTCAGTCCTCCATGACTTACCTCTATCATGATAGCAATGTGTGGCACGACATCTCAGACTTTCTTGTTTATAACAAGCCAAGGACTGCCTCTCAAAAATAAAGCTGTAGTTTATTTTGTTGTTCTTAATTGATATCTTCTTTAGGGTGTGCTCATTGCATTCATTTTTTAAAACGCAGTATTCCAAATATTATTGGTTGTTTTCTATGTTAAACTGTATTTTTGCATCACTATTTGAAATATTTGAGATTTTATTTTACCATTTTAATCTGTAGATTTATTTTTTGTTTGTTTGTTTGTTTGTTTGTTTGTTTGTTTGTTTGTTTGTTTCTTTAAAGGGCCAAGCCAGCAAATTAGCAAACCACAGTTTTGATTTATAAGATGCATATATTGTTTTATAATACTTTTCCTGTCCTTATATTTGATTCAGTTTGATTATAAATGATGTGCTATGCCACAAAGTTATTTGATGTCAAACAAGAAAAAAAAAAAAAAGATATATAATTTGCAACAATTTTTAAACAAATGGATTCATATTTTCACATAAACTATGCACTCAGCTAATTTGATTTATAGTTTGTAAATAATTTGAACATAACCAGCATTGCATAATATTCATTTAATGAAACACTGACTAAAAATAATCAAGTTCAACTTATCACCAGAGCTTTCTTCTTTAGCTTGTCTACTCTTTTGACAATTTTTTTAAACTGTATATTTGGTTAAATACCTTTCTGGGTTTTATTTCAAAGTTTGACAAAATATTAAATCAGATTTGAAGATAATCTCTGTGACATAATCGATTTACATCTGTCACAAATGTACATTGGACAGAAGGATAAAACTGATTTAAAAAATGTGGCTCATTAGACAGTTTCACTTTGCTCTTACAGAAAGTCCAAGTAATTAATTTCTGTTTTTACATATTTTGAAAAACTAAATGTCAGATGTGATCAAAGTTTGGCATGTAGACACTTCAGAATCGATACTGGGCATTTCCATACTGGAACATTGAGCGTAAACCAACTGCTGAAGTGCTAAGGTGACTATTCTGAGGCTGTGGTGATAATTTGTGCTGCTAAGTAAACAGTACTGGTATGTTACTAGCATTTAAACGTTTAAATATTTCTTTCTGTGCTTACAGTTGAAAGTTTTTTTTAAAATGTTTTCATAATCAGACCTTTTAGCTCAACTTAAATAAATTAATGTGTAAATAAATCTACATATGCATTCTGTTAATAGATATAGGTACATATGTACATAAATTACATTCTAAGCAACACCTCAGCGTATGGTTTGAAAAAGAGTTGGGTAAATAACACGGAGACGTTTGCTGCAAAGTAGTCTGCAAATATTCAAGCACTGTTTTCTGTCTTAGTGATTTAAGAAATTCTTTACACAGCAGAATGTTCTCAAAGACACTGAAAGCACTTGTGAAATAATAAGTGTGTACGTCAAAGATTTTTCTTATTATGTTTTTGAGTGCCTGAAGGTGTGCCATGATTGTAAATAATTATTTATTAAGGGTGGAATTAAAAAAAATAAAAGGCTACTGCAGTAAAACTGGTTCCTAGTTTGTCTTGAAAAGCCTGAATATGTACTTCTCCAAGCTTATTTTGCACTAACTGTGAAATGTATCTTTTGAGAAGATTTGATGCAACAAAAAAAAAAGTGTAAATATAGTTTGCACAATAAGGAAGAAGTTAGTGTGCACTTCCAGGATGTTTAGCCTTATTTTGTGCCTGGACATATGAACTTGACCACTATACTTAGTTTAGTTTGATTCAACCACATTTAAACAATATTCTGATCATTTATTACTTTTTTTTTCCTTTAAAAAAGTTTGATCTAGATGTTACATATACTGTTGTTCATACAATATTTTTAATGTAAAATGTATTATCACTGATTAAAAGGTGTAACTGTCCATTGAACCGAATGAGTGTAGGTTTAGCTGCTATATTTTAAATTATGCTTGCAGTTAAATCTTGATTTCAGATTTTACGCAAGCACTGAAAAACTTTATTCTTGTCAATCCTAATTAAATTGTTCATATCAGGTGTCACTGTTGGCACATCATCAAGCGACTGACGTCAGAAGAGCTGAAAACGAAAATGCATTCGACATAATAACTGTTCTGTCTTAATGGAACAGGAATAACAGGATCATAAAGTACATAAATGTTAGAACATCGCCTTGAGAACCATAATGTACATCATGACCAGGAGATCATTTACGTAATCAAGATTTGTTCTTTGGCGTTTATATCTTAGAAACGCATGCCTGTTTCCTTGAAAATAATAAAAATACATAAACAGGTTAAAAGGTTCTGAGTGTCTTGTGATGCAAATCTCAAATCCACAATATGTCCTCTAAACATTTCTGCATGTTTTAATTATATAAATTAATAATTTACTATTGACAATATTACTATTACAATGACATTTTAGAACCGCTAAATAAAAGAATGAATGAAAGCACTGCTGAACAATAGTAAAAAAGCAGTTTAAAGTTGTGCAGAGTATTAAAATTGAAGAAAAATATACAGCGAGCATTAAATAAATGAAATACTTGCACTGCAAGAATTCAAGATTCAATTGTCATTTAGTCCAATAAAGTTTTCTAACTGAACTGGTGGAAATGTTCTTAAAGAGCACACTTTCTTTTACACACCCGTTTCTTCTTCTATTCAAATTGGTTTGAAAAGTTTTTACTGCTATCATCCTTTTAAAGGTGATGCGGTGACAACTTGCATCGCCTCTTTATATGACTTGTGATTTCAACACGGCACTCCTTTCCCCCAAAAAAATGCATTCCTCTCAAAACATTAGATACTTGTCATTTTCAGCAGATGAGTTCATCGGGTGTAATAAACCAGTAACGTGGTGGATATAAAAACTGACGTCAGTCCAAACAGAAATCAGTTATCTACGTATGAACTCCAAAACATCTTTTAAGTCGAGGTTTTTCATATTAAACAAGAAGAGAAAAGTTGATAGTAAAATATATAATTCACATTTCTGGGCTTTTACACTTGTGCTCTCACTATCAACCTAAAGGCAACATCTGTTCAGCCCAGGTGACTGGTGAGGGTTGTGTGAGGAAGGGCATCTGATGTAAATGGACTGTACTTATGTAGCACTTTTCTATCTTATCAAGATACTCAAAGCGCTTTACAACACAATCTGTGTCCTCATTTACCCATTCATACAGCACTCTACTATACAAAGGTTAATCAGAGCTTTATCACATTCATACACCGATGGGACACACAACAGAGGCAATGAGAGGTTCAGTGTCTTGCCCACGGACACTTCGGCATGTGACTGCTGGTAGAATTGAACACCCAACTTTTGCATTGGAGGACGACTGCTCTACCCACTCAGCCACAGCCGCCCATTTAAGAAAGCCCACTGTTTATAGTTTAAATCAGTTCTTCTCAATTATTGTATAAGGAGTACCACCTCAGACAATACTAAGCTCTCCAAGTACCACCAATATGACAAAATAATACAATTAAATAAATAAATAAAATGTTACAACAAGCTTATTTTGTATCCAACAGCCAACGATCAAACCCCTGGTTTAAGGATGCAACTTGAGACGGTTCCGTGCATGTCTTGTGGAGAACACCACCACAATCACTGTGGTCTTCCCTCGTCCTTTTAACAATATATAACACATCTATGAGAATTTAAAACAAATGTATTCTTTGATTTTTTTTTTTTTTTTTTAATTGAACCCCCAACTCTCTCATTGGAAGATGACTGCTCTAACCACTCAGCCACAGCTGTCCCAAAAAGCCAACATAAAACACTTTTGCCAAAACTATAATGTGAGTTCATCAAACCAACACCATACTGGATCGATCGAGGCCCAGTTTAACGACTGCCACTGGTGCTGTTGACAAACGGGGTGCCAACGGAAATTGTGCTACTGTTAGTCGAAGACCACAAGGAGGGAAACATGTCAGGAGACAGAGGGAGAAGAGGACAGTCAGGACTGAGGATTGGAACGAATGTGGGGACAATGACAGGCAAAAGTAGAACTGGCTGGCATGATGCAGAGAAGGAAGGTAGATGTTTTATGTGTCCGAGAGAGCAAGTGGAAGGGCATCAAGGCTCACAGCATTGGAGCAGGGTTTAACTTGTTTTACCATGGTGTGGATGAAAAGAGAAATGAAGTAGGGGTAGTCCTGAAAATGAATTCATGAAAATCCTGTAAAAAAAAAAAAAAGGTTACCAACCCTCACATTGTCCATTGATGACAAGATTATTTTTATTAAAACATACTTGTTTTGTCAGATTGTTATCCAATGTTTGTGCACCAATGCTGGTGGAAACTATGATAAAAAAGTTGTTTTTTTCCTTATTGTTTCAATAACTACACTAAAATTCAAAATGCATCCAAACATTCGGTTACACTTCTATAAAGGGGCCGATAAACTTCATATAGTAAAGGAAAATGGCTAATGTGTGCAAAAAGTACACATTGGTGTGACAAGTTAATCGTCTGAAACCATCCCTTTTATATCTTCCAAGAACAAAAAGCTAAAAATAATAAACGGTGAAAATAGCATCAGATTCTTGCCCTTATCTTCATACCGATGTTGCAAGATAATCATTTTGTAGGAGTTCACACAAAGAAACTGGCACTGAGGCTTAATTTTCTTTTGTTGACGTAGGTTAGTCTGATTACTCATCAGATATGTACACTTTGTGCAAGAAACTGTACAAAAGTCACTCAGGTGGCATGGAGGTGTGTGCCGTGTCCCTGCTTATGTTTTGGTAAATTACTTAAGGGCGTTAGAAACAACCGAGGGAAAACCAGTTTCCTCTCTAACCGCAGCCTGAAAAGCTGTTGGGAGGGGTTGAGATTCAGGACTATTTAAATAAAGATGAGGACTGCAGGAGCACATTGCGTTGTTTTGAGAGAGACATACTAACACATGGAAGGTGAGATTTGTTCACACTTTTTAAAATTAATTCAGTTTAACTATTTAATACTGTCTGTTCAGTGCTTTTTGTGTTGCTGTGTCTGAATCTACAATTTCTTTATTTTTGCAGACTTAAGTATCCACCATGTTAACCTGGAGTTATCCGAAAACCGGACGAGACACAGAACAGACTGCTTCAGCAGCTCCAATTCTCTGGTGGTGCGAAGGGGAGCCCCATTCAGAATCAGCGTCCAGTTTAAGGGCCGAGCCTTCAACCCCACGACAGATTCTCTGAGGATTGATGTTCTGCTAGGTAATTGGCTCGGGTTTA